CCCTCAGACATCGGTGCGTTGGTGGTTCTTTGTGTCCGGGGATGGGCGTCCAGGTACACACCGGCTCACTCCTTGGCGGCCGCTTATCGGGGCCTGGAGCCTGGGGCTCGCTCGGGCCACTTCGGAGGTGGGGTGCCCCCGGCCTCTCGGCCTGGGGCTCGGTCACTCAGGCACGGCTGGCTGCCGGCGGAGCTCACGGGCGCGTCACTGCAACTCCCCCTGGCTTCTGCTCCGCGGCTGCTGAGTGAGCCCTCATCTGGGACTCTCCTCAGCTCTTTCTGGGACAGTGGCGCGGCTGCCCCTCTGTTGGTCTTCCTTGGTCTCTTGTGTTCTGGGGGCCTCTGGATGTCTGGAGTTTTGATCTCCTCCATACCTGCTTCATGCCCTGGAGGACGGGGCTGTGGCCCCCCCACACCCTCTAGCAGATCATTACATGAAGGAACCTTTTAAAAACAAGCGCGTCCATGCTCACAGGTGTACACACGGGTGATCACACCCACAAACTACACCCTTTTTGGCTCCTACCTCAAAGCACACTGTGTTCTGTTGATCTTATGTGCTGCACAATAATGTTTAATATTTAGTATTTACTGTCATATTCCCATATATCATTGTGATGTTGTTTATTCTATTACTCTCGTTTTCTTCTGCTTGTTTTCTTTTTTCATTCTCAACAGGTGAAATTAAAGTATCTACTGTTATCTATTGTTAGCTAGTTTATTGTGATGGTGTTGTCTTTATTATGTTGCTCTTTGTTGTTTGTTTTCTCTTCTGGTTTTTTATCTCCATACAGGTGATCCAGGTGTTTTGTTTGTTTTTTTCTTTCTTCCCCCCCCTTCTCACCGTCTCTTCTCCCCTTTGTTTTTCTCCCTCTCTTTCTTTCATTCTTTCTCCCTGTCCTATCCCCCAGTCATGTCTGTCCCGTTTGTAGCAACTGAAAATAAAATAAATTCATAATTATAATAAAGGTCAATCAAATGGACCAATATGGCAAGGCCATGATGATCCACTTGGTAAAATAAATCCACTTGGCATCTTTCTTGGCCTTAAGACAACAATTCTGATCCAAACGGGACAGGCAAAAAAAAAACAACCAAAAAACATGTTTATGAATACAGGTGGTTAATTTGATTTTTGTAGGGAAGAAAAAGTTTGCAGATGTTTGCGCTGACCTCTCAGGGCGCCAAGTGTAAGATGAAGAGTCACAGTCTCAAGCTTCTGTGCATGTTGGGGCATCCAATCAGAGCCACTCAGAAGGTCAACCCACAGCAGATACTGTCTGTGGGATGATGTACTGCCTCTGGTTCTGAGTGCATAGTCAAGACTGCACAACAACATGTCCAGCTTTCCTTCAGTTTCTCACAACCACCACTCATCCACTAAACCTGACTTTAGTGCTGCATTCCTTTTACCTCGGAGCTGCTCCGCACTTCCGCATCGACTGTGTTCCAGTAGTAGTCGGAAAAACAGGAGCTGATTTGCTCCGGCGTAGACCCAGGACACTCTGGAGAGATTACGTCTGTCGGCTGTCCTGGGAAAGGTTCGATGTTTCTCTAGATAAGTTTGAGGAGGCGGTGAGAGGGGGGTCGGGTCGCCCCTGCTGTCGGCTCCATAACCCGACTTCAGATAAGCGGAAGAAAATGCACGGATGATTTATTTTAGATTTCAACTTTACTAAAGTGGTTGCAATGAATGTTTGAGTCATTGCATCATGGATAATGCACCCACAGTGAGCCACACATTCCAGTTTGTTTTTGTCATACTTTAGTGTTACATGAACATCGTTTGTAGTGACATGTTTTCATGTTTAATGTCGGTTTAGTTTCAGTGTTTTTTTGTCTTCGTTGTCTGTTTGCAGTATAACGCGTCACGTTGAGGTGCTGCACAGTATGATTCATTATTGACCAATGTGATTAAAATGGTTTAAAATGCCTTTGTTATTCATTTTGACATTTTCCATTTAACGCTTCTTAAATGTAACATATGTAATCCTCACATGAGACAAAGCCAAAGGCACTCCAACACCCCAACAAAGCAACAACAGGAGAAACCTGTAAAAAACAAGCTGGAGGTTCAGTCCTTCTGCTTAAGTCATAAATACACAGTGAGCGAGCACCAAGAAACAGAACAACAGGATGAGAGGGACAAGAAGAGTCAAGAACAGAAAGACCACGATTGAACTAAATTCTGCAGCAATACCAGATGGTCCTTTAAGTAATATAAGACGAGGCTTGTTTGTGTTCGTGCTGTTAGACCAGAATGGAAACTGTAAGGATCACAGGTTGGTAGAAATGTTTCTGATAACATTGTAAAATATGACCTGGTGTGACCCACAGAGCAGAAAAGAGCAGTCAGAAGAAAGAACACAAATTTAACCCTATATCAGAGCCAGGCTGCTGAAAAACACAATCAGCAAGAAAAAGACGGCAACAGCCAAAGTGCAGAAGCTGCCGTCCATAAACGTGGGCGACCTCACGGTGCCTCTGTCCTTTATATACAGTCTTTTCTATCACATGTAGCAGGAAGGAGGAGCAGACGCTGGCAGCATCAACCTGGTGTTTGAACGAGAAGGTCCAACAAGCACAGTAACAAACTGGTCACACCAAAGTACACGTTCACTTACAGAAACCACAGAGCTCGTGCTCACTCCTGTGTTACTGCTCAAATTTTAAAGACTCAGTCTCACTAAATGCTGCACTTGCAAACCAAACAGCTGAGACGTTCTTCGCTTGTCAGCCTTCAGGTGCTCACTAATCTGTTCCTCAGATCGACTCTGACGCTAAAGGAAATCTTTCACCATAGTTAATGCAGCCGAGTATCAGCTGCCACATATATTTATATGTGGCAGTTACTTGTTAATAATTATACTACTACTCCCACTACTACTATTACTTATAATAAAAAAACAAAGAATGAAATGTGGTAAATGACAGGATGTAAACTCCTTTCGTTTACATCCTCTCATTTACTTGAACCTAAAGTGAAAAAACAAAAAAAAACTTGAAAGATTATTTTACTGTGAAAATCGCGCCCGGAAGTAGTTTTCTAACATTAGCCCGTTTTATCGATGCTGCAGCAGAGCAAACCACGTCTCTCAAACAACAGATAAACAGCCGCTGGGTGTTCTGCGGTTCTGTGAGCGGAGCAGACATGGACCGCTACCGTGAAGTCCCGGATGTGGTTCTGGACCCTGAACCGAAGCTGCAGGGCGAAGGTTTGCTCGGTTTTATCTACCGGAACCGCGGTGCTAAGCTATTGCCCAGCTAAGACAACGGTGGTCAAAAAGTCCGACAAGAAAACGTGTCTTTGTCCGACTGTCCGCCGTCAGAGGCTTTTGTTACTGGATGAGAGGCTGTTTAGTGAGTCAGTGAGACACTGACGGTCTCCGTGAGGGAGCAAAGAGGCGCTGCGGGGAAAAGTGACAGTCCACGGAGCAGGCTAACCCCTCAGAGCTGGGGATGGAAGCTGCACACAGACGCTGTGCAGCTTCAGATGTTTCGAAACACTGCTCCGTAGCGCGAGTGACTCAGGTGTGCCAGCTGGTGTGTTTCTGACTTTTGACCCGAGTTGGCTTTAAAACGTAAACTTTCTAAGTTAACAGTATTCGTGATTTAATTTCCAAAAATTGCATACGGTCCTTATTTTGTAGCTGGATCATACAGTAGCTGGAGCAGTCTCAGATGGAGTGCACTCCACGTACCTGTGGCCAAGTGCCATAGCCTGCAGCCAGATGAACACATCTGCACCTGCCTCTATCACCACGTCGAGTAGAGAAATTGTATCTTGCCACAGTCACTCATCAGGGATCAAGTGAACCATGAATGCAACTGAACATTCTGCTGTAGGGCTGCCACAAACGATTATTTTGATAGTCGACTAATCAGATCATCATCCATTGGACGTAAAACAGCTTATTGCACCAGCAGCATCTGCTCTTATATAACTATCATTAGCTTACAGCTTTAAGTGTTTAAGGTGCTAACTAAAAATAAAGACAAGATGATAGTTTATTAAATTTTAATGAAATTTGCAGATTGTTTCGGTGAAGTTTAATAAACTCCTTGCTATCTAAAATATAACAGGACACCGGAGTATATTCTCGAGCATCTCACACTTCTGATAATCAGCTGTCTGCTTGACGTTTATTCAGCTGTGTAAAAACTATAACTTTAATCTCAGCCAAACCGATTTACTCAGGAACAAATAAAATACTAAAAAAAGCCAAACAATAACATTTTAAGTTATCTAAGTGACTTATATATCATGTTTAACCTGAGTAGCTGAGTAACGTCTCCAGAGAAAAGACACAGGCAGAATATGCTAACACGATGTGATGTTACAACACTAGTCAAATATTAATGTGTAATATTTGTTTAAGACATATTTCTTTGTTTTGGAAAACAAATTCAAATCATCATAAACAAATTTCAAACTATATACACAAAGTTCTAGAAATCACCTAATTCGGCATTTCTTACTGATGTAGGTAGGCTGACAGTAAGTACACAATACCATTTCATTTGGTTTAAGGTTTATGTGCAAGACACAAGAACAGAAAACACTGAAAGTTACAAATGTATTGTCCATGAAACAGGAATAAAACGTGGTGCAGATGCTTGTCACAAGTTAATGTGGCTGTAGGCTCTGGAACGCCAGGAATGCCATAATGAATTATTTAAATACACCATTAAATAATTAATTAAAATGGGAAATAATGAATTAAATAAATATTTTGGACACATTTAATTAATTCATTTTGGCACAGTTGCGCCTGGCTCTCATCATGAAATAATTTTATCTGTCAGCCTCACCCATCAAACTCAGGGGGCGGGGTTAACGCTGATCGAGTCAAAACCATTGCTTTGGCCTGGTGGCCATTGTTTCTAGCACACAACAACCGGCATGTGGAAGCTAACAGAACTGAACTTTGAAAAACCCTGTTTGTGTGTCACCAAATACCGTTTTAATATTTTTTTAGCCGAGAATGTAGTGGTTTAATCTTCATGTGTCTGGTCGGTTTGTCAAGATACAGCCTCTTTGCAAAAGTGCTTCGATGATTTCGGAGATGTCTGCCCAGTCTCACGGCAAAGCGTGGGATAGACCCGCTCGCCTCGCAAGCAATCCCACCGACAAAGCGCAGGCCCCGGTACACAGCTGTAGTAACCCCCGCTGACTTCTTTTACTGAGGTTATATTTATCGGTGTTTTATTTCCTGATGTTCTTATGTGTCCTACGTGTTTCAGTATAATTCTGAATTATAACTAACATTAAAAACATGTTTAAGGAGGAGAGAGAGCAAATAAATCTGTTTAACATCTGATCTTTGGGTTTTTGTTCAGTAATCAGCGTGACCTGTGTATAAACGCATAAAAGAGATAACGTTGGTGTTTCTGTCATGTAGTAACTGCTGGCTTTAACTGTACAAAGGTTGTTCGACACTATGAAACACATACAGACTTCATGATGTTCGGCTAATATTTTTATTGTGAATATTAATCATGAGGGTAAACGGCCCTGTACACCACGGAGCGAGGTCAGCATATCCACGATATCCTCAGCTCCATGAGTTAACACAGAGTTTCCCAGCTGACTAATCTAACGGTCATCTACGAATATGTCACGGCTCATATCAGTATGATTTTACAGAAAATCATCCTTATTACTGCCAACTATTCCAGAGACGTGAAAATCTACAGCATAAAGAACACAAACATATAGCAACACTGTAACAGAGATGAACCGTCAGTTTGTCCAGATCAAAGTGGAATGAAAGTGATTGGTTGAACAGGTGTGATCTGTGTTTTCTGCATTTTCATCAGCGTAAGAGACTCAGCAGCAGATCAGAATAACAGTTACACATTTAATAAATCACCAAATTAACAAACCTGTTTGGACAGTTTGAGTTTGTTCCCTCAGCTGCAGACTCGCTGCTGTTTAAGTTTGAGAGGAAGATTAGATATAAAAACGTCAAACATAGACTCAGTCTGCCTTCACATTTGATATCTCT